TCGAGCTCCTTGAACTGAAATCGCCTATTTTCTGGTTTTTTATTCAAAAAATCATATAGCATGTTCTGGTAGGAGTTTGAAGTTGAAATTTTAAAAGGAAGAATCGATTATGATGGTGAGTGTGATATTAAATTTTCAATTCTTAATTCTAACCCGAACCCCTTGAACTGAAACTCACTCTTTGCAAACCTTTTTTGTTAAAAATTCGATTTATATATTAGGGGTTATGTTCTAAGGCCCAAATGTTAGAGGTATGCTGTAAAAGCTATGTTTTGCAGATTCTATCAATTCTATTTTGATCTGGCAATCATGTTTCGGTCAAAGTACATATGTTTGCGGTTTATTTATTTATGCAATACATACTCCATGTATTATATGGAGGTAGTGTGGTTCGAAGAGTTTCGAATAGAAAGATCGCCTATCGGTTTCTTATAAGACTAAACTATTCGTTCACAGTCTAGACTGGCAGTGAGACCCCACTTGGAAAAAGACTGTAGTGTATTCTCGATTCAGTTGGACTTTGACTGAAGGATTACACTAGCACTTATGTTAAGTGTTGAACAGAACCACAGAAGGATAAGGATATGAGACTCACTGACCGTTGTCGTAACCTAGACCTTCAGTGATTGATGCGTTCTCTTAAGTTGTAAGATAATATAAAATAGGCATATATTTTTATTTCTTATTTATTTGATTTACCAAGTGATTCCTATTTTATTAGGATGACATACGAGGTATTTTGGTAAGTAAGAATAATTATATGATGTGCTATTATAAATTATTTACGGTCACTATATTCCAGTGCGCTGGATTGATGACGTCCCCGAAATGAGCTCAGGAAGGAACATTAGGTTAAACCCTGCAGGTAGACGATTATCTGACATAATGGTTAAAGTCTGAGTGGTACTAATTTCGGAAATGAATAAGAAGTTGATTAATTATTTTGTCAGTAATTTAATTAATCAACGGACGTTATATCTTAAACAGATGGAGGTAAATCGATCAATCAGATTAATATTATTTAATCATGGAGGCTCGATTTTATTGGTAAAATAGTGGCTAAATGGGCAGAGCAATAATATTACTCTAGTGGGATGTTTTATTGTAATATCCCGTCAGATTAATTATATTAATCATGTTTTAGTTCCGATATAATAATATTGTCGAGTATTATTTTTTTGGAAATATTTATTTCAATCGAGTTTACCCGAAATTATTTTCGACATCCCGTTTACGTTCGAAATAATTTTGGTAGTTAAGCAATAGGCTTAGTAATTAATTAAGCATAATGTAGTGATTAATTAATAATTAATCACGCTTAATTTGCTAATAGCCGTAGCAATTAAGTTGTAGTGCTCAAATTGTTTTAAATTGCCGTAGCAATTTTATTCAAACAAAGGAAACATTTCCTTCTCCTTCATGCACTTAGACGTGTCATCTTAAGAGAGTTTATGGGATGACTAAAGTTTTGCTAACATGACTAAGCACCTAAGGTTAGTTTAATGATGGCAAGTGGAGGATAATTATAAGGCCACATCACCCCTAAATATTTTTGTCCTTTCAGTTTTAAGTATTTAAGGGGAGACTTGGGGAAAATTTTCCCATCTTCTTCAGCATATGTTAAGTATAATGAGTGAGAGAGAGTATAATTAATTGGGAAGCTACCGAGTACCGCACGCAAGTAATATAGCAGCCAGCGCCGAGAGCTTATACCGCGCGCACGGAAGCACCAAGCTCCGAAGGATCATGCATACCTTGTGCGATTAGGCGAGTAAGAGGAGAGGTAACTTCGGTTTGCCTTAGTTTGATCATGTTAAAGTCATATGAGTTCAGTTTTGCTTTAGTCATGTTCGATACGGTTTAAATCAAGTTCGACCGTACGAGTAGATCACCGAGTATGATCATGTTTTATTCAAAATATCTCGAGCAAGCTTTACGTATTCAGTCATTATATGCAATATCATGTCTATTCAGCTTGAGTTGTTCGAAAGAATTTTCATGCTCAAGTGTTGATTTGGCCAAAGGACGTGGCCGTGCACCTAGCGCGCGCCACGGGTCGAACATGCGTAGCAATTATGCTAAGTGCTAATCCTTCGAACCTTCCTGTCAAATTTTTCAGTAATTATTATGTCATGTTCAGTGGTAAATTAATTGCCGAGAGAAAGATC